TAAAATAAGGGTGTGGGATTCCTAATTCCTAATATGGAAAGCTCTCCATGATATGTGACATGATAAAATCAAGTTGCAGAACATTATGTGGTCTGGAGAGATGCAAAACAAATTGTTCAGTGGTTACCTCTGGGAAATAGAGGGTTGGGGAAGGTTTTGAAGGGGAGACTCTCCTTAATTTCTTTGGCATTGTTTAAATTTTTTTTAACTTCTATAATCTTTTAAAATAAAGAACTTAGCAGCAAACATGGAAGCAGTTCATGCATACAAAGTACCCGTATCTCCATTATTGAAAGGTAGATGGTACTTCTCAGTTTACATTTTACAAAAATAAAGGAGCACAATGTTGTCTACCTTGTTTTAATAATGAAATGATAATTGTCCTTTTTTTTTTTTTTTTTTTTGCGGTACTCAGGCCTCTCACTGTTGTGGCTTCTCCCGTTGCGGAGCACAGGCTCTGGACGCGCAGGCTCAGCAGCCATGGCTCACGGGCCCAGCCGCTCCGCGGCATGTGGGATCTTCCCGGACCGGGGCATGAACCAGTGTCCCCTGCATCGGCAGGCAGACTCTCAAACCACTGCGCCACCAGGGAAGCCCAATTGTCAATTTTTGAATGTTAAGGCAGTTGTTATAAAGAATAGTGTTTTCCAAAACCTATTTGGACTTTGAGTCTGAATCAAAGTTTTTTTGTTTGTTTGTTTATATAGGTACATATAAATATAATACCAAAAAGATACCTTTCCTTTTTAAAATGGAAATTACGGTACCACAAAACTCATTTCCCATATTGATCTTATGAGCACTTCTTTTAAGTAGTAAAGCAGGGTTTGTCAGAGCTCCAGGCACACCAGGGAAAGGTGGGTAGGACTATCTCTTGGCATTTCAGTCAATATAAGAATTCCTTACTAAGTCACCAAAGGCACTGTAGAAACTTAAGAAACTAGGGACAAATGTCCTAAGGCTTCTATGAAGAAGGTATAACCATTTGGGGAACTATTTGTCAAGTAGCAGCTTCATGCTTAAGATTGTGGAGAATTGAGAAAACAGTCTGACAATCACTGGGAGACACAAAATGACTGAAATAATAAAATGCTAGGATACATCATTCAGGAAATTGTGTGGTTAGTAGCCAGGAGACTCGGAGGTCCTTGGTAGCCAAAATCAACAGGGAAGGCTTTATGGAGTTTAGATTTCAGACAAACCAGATTTTGAGAAGGGAAGAAAGCATTCCAAGTAAAGAATATAGAGAAAGATAGATTCATGACTTTAAAACAAAATTTTAAATGAACAGAAATCTGTAAGTAAGTCTTGGGATAATCCTGATAATTGTAGTTTATGTAATATACTCTTACCAGAAAAGGCAATTTATAAAGGAAGTGAAATTACAAATCTGAAATTTCCAAGCTGAAAGACCTTACAGACCATGTAATCTATGCCCTCACACAAATGGTAAAACACACTCAGAGAGGTTAGGTGACTTGCACTGAAGTCTCTAATACATGTTAGGACTTGAGTATTTTTTTCTGTCATACTTTGTTCCAGAAAGGATTTAGGGAATCTCTACAAATACATGATGTTTAAGATGCATCAGTTGAAAAAACAAGTAGCAGAATTAAATAGCATGATGCTGTTAAGAAAGAGTATGTGAAAAAAAAAAAAGAATATGTATAGGGAATTTCCTGGCAGTCCAATGGTTAGGACTCTGGGCTTTCACTGCCATGGCCCAGGTTCAATCCCTGGTCAGGGAACTAAGATCCCGCAAGCCATGTGGCATGACCAAAAAATAAAAATTAAAAAAAAAAAAGAGAGTCTGTATACGAGAACATTAAACTTGGACTATCAGTGCCCTTATGGGTAATCAATATTAGAACTAGTCCATATTAATTTTTGAATTTTAACTTTTTAAAAAAATAATGTACATGTTCTATTTAAAATCAAGGAAAAGAAGATTTTTTAAAGTGACTTAAGAAATAAACTATTCCTGGTACCAAGACAAGAGGTAAATTTCTATTTGGTGCTCTACATAATATGATAAACAATGTCCTTAACAGAATAAATGCAGCACCAAGTTCTAAAATCCATTTCTAAGGATAGGCTATGACAAAATACTGTCCCCTCAAATTCAACCTAGATGCACAGCTAGTTCTCTGCTGGTCTGGCTGCATCTAGGGATTGACTTGAGAGAAGCTTGAAGAAAAGACGGAATATATATAAAACTGTATTAACTGCACATTAGCCTGCTCACCGAATTTCTTTGCTGGGAGAAGCGGAGCAGGTACCACTTTTAAAGTGGTGTTAAATCAATAGGTTATAATTTTAAGAGGATCGGTGGGGCATAACACATTATTTTTTAAACCCCTCTTCCAAAAAAATTATCAAAATTTAAAAAGGCCCTTACTGATCCCGGACATTCTAACCGCAATTCTGGATTTAATTCACGCACACTCCCCTATCACTGATTACCGTCCAGAGTCAAACGCTAAGGAGAAATTATAGCAATAGCCACAAAGCATTCTACATTATTCCCAACAGAGACTAAGAATCATTAAATACTATTCAGTGGCAAAATTTTACACCAAAAGATCTTGTATGCTGACCAAACTAATAAAAAAATGACATAAAAAATACTGAAGAACTTCCTTCTCTAAGTGAAACACTCCAGGGGGCACCCAAATTAACCTATTCTATGAAGGCAGGGGAAAACACATGGCTCTAGGGATACACAGAGAAAAAGAGGACAAGAAAACACATCAGACAGGAATTCCTGGCAGTCCAGTGGTTAGGACTTCTCGCTTCCACTGCAGGCGGCACGGCCAAGAAAAAGAAAAAAAAAAAAAAAAAAAGGCCAAAAAAAGAAGGAAAGAAAACACATCAGAGATCTGAGAGGAAGCAATTTCAAAGGCCATGGGTAGAGGCTGAGCATAGCTGGTCAGAAGCAAGTGCTGCTTTGAGACAAAAAAAAAAAAAAAAAAAAAAAAAAAAGGCCAAAAAAAGAAGGAAAGAAAACACATCAGAGATCTGAGAGGAAGCAATTTCAAAGGCCATGGGTAGAGGCTGAGCATAGCTGGTCAGAAGCAAGTGCTGCTTTGAGATGACGAAAGGTTGAGAACTAAGAAGACTTAGAGTTGACCATGCCGTTAGCATTAGCTATTTTAACTGCCTGCTTTGAGGTAACTTTCAGTAAAATGGTTATGATTAAAGCTGAAATAGAGGGAATTTTATGAAAAGGCAGATAACTTCCCCCCCATCAGCTTGTCCTTTCAGATTCTGGCACATACATGGGTAAATGAAAACTAGAATCTAGCAGACTTATTGGGCCATGTAAGCAGAGCAGGCAGCAAGGTAATAGTTAATGATGCAGCTTGCATACATTTATTTAGGACAGGCAAAATTCCAGCCAGTCTTTCTCAAAACCAGGGCAGAATTTTTTTAAGTTGTACTTATTCCCATCTCTCAGATCACTTTAAACAAAATACGTATGCCTTGAGTCAGGATGAATAGATGCCTATTTTTTCTGGAGATACTCAGATGTTCATTCATTAAAATCAATTTCACAGTTTTATTTTAAAGTAAAATTATTCTCACTTCTCTTCCTTCTCTACCATCAGCATATGACCACAGAAAGAAAAAATTTTGTTTTTTAAATAACACAACACTTATATGATTAAATTGGCATGTTTCCCAATTAAAATACTGCACTCACTCCATTTCTGCACAGCTTTCTGTCCCCCTCCAATGCAGAAGTAGCCTGAATATGATGTTCCAAAGCCACAAAAAAGGACTTGAACAATGTCGCTCATCATTCACTTTATTCAAACACTTAAACGTATCTCTCTCCCAAGAGGCTCTCTGTACATTTCATTCTTCACAGTAAAGAAAAACGCCATCATTCCCCAAATCCATGAACAAGGGAAAATTTTTAGGACACCTTTAGTTTGTAGCAAAGACAACAGCCCAGCCAATCAACAATGCTACCCACAAGATGCCAGTTTCCTACCCCTACCGTTTTCTCTCTTCTTTTTTTAAAGATAAGATTTAAAATCTGCTCATTTTAAGAGAAGTATAGTAATCCACACAATTTATAACTAAAAATAATGAGGTTCTTAAAAAAGAACAACTTTCTCTATCTAGGTTCTAAGATGACTAGATCAGCTTGTGGGCGAAATGAGAGATTATGAGGGACTGTGAAACAGGCGGATTTGCCTTCCTCCCTTGAAATCTCTTCAAGGTTCAGACAATTCAGTAGTATTGAAAAGGCCTCAGCTCCGACATATCTGAGGCGAAAAGCTTAGACGACGATGATCAACAAACCAAGACAGTATTATGCATCTGGCTTTCAATAAACTGAATCTAAGACTGGGTGGCCCATTGATGAATGGGAGCATGAAACAAGAGGCAAGTTTCGACACACACATAGACTCCTCGACCCAAAGTTACTTTGGAGAGAAGCCATGAGAGGCTGCATCAGTCCTCAAACTTCAGCTAAGGATGGCTCTTCTTTCTCCCCAGTGTAAAACAGCAAATGCACCTATAAGGTGGAGTTGTCAATAAGAGTTCCCTTCTGACTTTGAAGCAAGGAGCAGGGAAACAATCAGAAGGCTTTCCAGATACACCCGGGAAACAGAAGGCAAACCAACATCAATTTAAACAGGCCTCACAAAAGAGAAAAATCTGTTGGAGGTCTTAAAAAAAACACAACATTCATGGATGGCCACAGAAGGGAAACGGCGATGGCCTTGGGACTCCGGGGGAAAGTCCATCAAGATGCTTTGAGATCTCGGCTGAGAGAGTGAGTTCAGCCTCCATCCACCACCAATGACTCCGCATCAGACGTATCCCAAAAGGAGTCTCCACGAGAGCCCATCTTCTTCGAAAGAGCTCTTAACTGAGATGAGTGTCCAACACACATCCTCCCCTGAGCTGTCAAACTGCAGCTGCAGCTTCTTGTTTGACCCTCACTCCCCTTGGCTCTCTGCTCTCCGGCAGTGGGTCTCAGGTCTTTACCGCCAGGCACGATTCAGGAGTTTCACCTGTGCCAGTCTCTTAGTGATCATGGTGGCAAAGACCAGACCAAAGAGGACGCTGCTGATTAGCACATAGTCATAGTCGTCCTTCAGGACATCAAACTGTTTGGATGGGTAGACTCGAGTTTGGTAAATGTCCAAACCGTAGGCCACAACCTGGAAGGCAGAGGGAATGAGAAATCCGTAAGAAAGGCACCAGTGATCCGCCACAACCACAAACTCTGGTCACAAAGGAAACAGACTCCTCAGCTGTTTTCCCAAGGGTGAAAGAAAGAACAGGTGTCACAGAGGGTGGCTGTGGACAAGGTGGCACAGGCTGGGCTGGGGCTCTATACTCACCAAACAAGTGGACTCCAGGCCCGAGGGAGCTGTATAGATACCTCGCATTCGAGAAACTGTCTGGTTATAGTTGATGAACCGCT